TTTATTTACAGGAAAAATGTTTTAACTCCAGGGAAAAATGTTTTAGGTGGAGGGAAAAATCCTCTCTCCCATCCAGATACCCCAAACCCTCACCACCATTTAAAGGCAGGGAGTTCACTCCAACCCCAAGTTCTGGAATGTGCTGCTCCAAAAATCCATATTTTTAAGGAGGGAGAGTGACAGGGGATGTTTTAAACCCCCGAAACCACCAAAAATCTCAGGGGTGTTTTCCCAGGGAAATCCAGCCCAGCACTGGATTTGTGATGGTGATAATCAGATACTGAAATTATAAGCACGTGGTGATGAAAATATCCAATTATTCCCTGGGTTTGAGAGATTATAAAAAGTCTTTGGAAGTCTCCTCTTGGAGCTGGGATGGATTTGGAAGACTCATGTGAAATTTGGGAGTGTTAACAAAGATCAGGGGGTTGAGAATCACCTCCTTTCCGAGGAAAATCATCACAGAATAACTATTAAATATTCAAGGATAATTAAGGCAGAGGGCCTGTGCCCCTCATTAGTGGGGCAAGAAGGTGCAGAGAGCCCACAGAGGGAATTATCCTCGAATTCCCAGGTATTCCCAGAAATCCACTGGCTGCTCCAAGAGCTGGCAGGTCCCTCCACGCTCCCACCAGTGCTATAAAATCCACTCTGCAGCACTTAAAAAGCACAAACCACCTTTCCTTTCCCTCTTTTGGGCCTAAAGGACCATCAAAAATTCCAACATTCCTCATCCTCTCACATTTTTTTGGGGGGGGGGGGCTCCTCAAGAGGGTATAAAAAGGGTATAAAGAGAACACTTACCCTACAATTTGATTAAAATACTTCCTGTAGCCGTCCAAGGTTTCGTGCTGCAATGAAGAGAGAGGGGACAAAGATTAAAACTGAGGCGGCCCAAGAGCCACTGGGAATTTTTGGGATGCCCCAGGGAGCAGGGATGGAGGTACCATGTTGGAAGGAGGCTGCAGGACCAGCCGGGCTTGTTTTCTCCTCTGCTTCCTGTAGTAGCTCTCGAAGGTTTCGCGGGCGCCCTGGAAAAGAGGAAAGGTTCAGTCAGGGGATTCAAATTATCCCAATTCAGAGGTCACTTGGAATATAAAATCACTCCATTGGTCAGGTTGGAAAAGCCCTTTGAGATCAGAGTCCAACTGTTCCCTCAAAGCCACCACTGACCCATTGATTAGGTTGGAAAAGCCCTCCGAGATCATCGAGTTCAGCTGTTCCCCCAAAGCCACCACTGACCCCAAAGCCACCACTGACCCATGTCCCCAAGGGCCACATCCACAGGGATTTTAAATCCCTCCAGATCTTCTGAGGAGGTGGAGGGTGAGCAGCAAGAGTGGGGTCAAACCACTACATCCAACATTCCTTCGGATTTGCAATCACAGAATCCTTTAGGTTGGAAAAGCCCTCTGAGATCATCCAGTCCAACCATCCCCCAGCACTGCCAAGGCCACCACTGACCCATATCCCCAAGGGCCACATCCACAGGGATTTGAAATCCCTCCAGGGATGGGGACTCCAACACTGCCCTGGGCAGCTGTGCCAGGGCTGGACAACCCTTTCCAGGAAGGAATTTTCCTTGATACCCAATTTAAACCTTCCCTACTGGAACCTGAGGCTGTTCCCTTTCCTCCTGTCCCTTGTTCCCTGGGAACAGAGCCCGACCCACCCCCGGCTCCCCCCTCCTGTCAGGGAGTTGCAGAGCCAGAAGGTCCCCCCTGAGCCTCCTTTTCTCCAGGATGAGCCCCCCCAGCTCCCTCAGCTGCTCCTGCTGCTCCAGCCCCTTCCCAGCTCCGTTCCCTTCCCTGCACACGCTCCAGCCCCTCCTTGTCTCTCCTGTCTGAGGGTCCCAGAGCTGCCCCCAGGGCTGGAGGTGCCCCAGCAGTGCCAGCACAGGGGGACAGTCACTGCCCTGGGCCTGTGCCCACACCATGGCTGGTACAATATAAACTGCATATATTATATATATTTAATATATTATACTGCATTTAATATCATTAAATATCACATTGCTCCAGCATTTTCCTGCAAAATTCAATTCAAACAGCAGAGGACAAAGAGTTTTCCTCAAAACATCAAGTCCCAACCCAACAGTTCAGTCCTGAGAGTATCTGGTGAGCTCTCCTGTATCCAATTCCCTTTGTCACCCTGGAGGTGTGGGATTAGAGGGATACAACCAGCTGCTTTCTGCACCATAACATGGACAAATATCAGATTGATTTCACCAAGGGGGGGGGATGAAATAATCAATTCCAGGGTCAGCAAAAAAAGAGGGGACAAAGAACATCAAAAGATTTATGGGAAAAGAGGGAGGCAAAGCCACAAACATCAGGGAATTCCAGGCCAGGTTGGACAGGGCTTGGAGCAACCTGGGATGGTGGAAGGTGTCCCTGCCCACAGCAGGGGGTGGCACTGGATGGGTTTTAAGGTCCATTCCAACCCAAACCAGTGTGTGATGTTCCCTTACATGAGGTGACCGGTTTTGAACACTTGGCCAGTCCTTGGTACGTGGAGATGGGATATTAGGAAGGAATTCTTGGCTGTGAGGGTGGGGAGGCCCTGGAATGACTTTCCCAGAGAAGCTGTGGCTGCCCCTGGATCCCTGGAAGTGTCCAAGGCCAGGTTGGAGCAACCTGGGCTAGTGGGAGGTGTCCCTGCCTTCAACCCTTCCAGAGGGTTGAACTAAATGATCACTAAAGGTCCCTTCCAATCCATGGAGCGACAGGACACAGGGAATGGCTTTCCACTGCCAGAGGGCAGGGTTAGATGGGATACTGGGAAGGAATTCCTGGTTGGGAGGGTGGGTAGGCCCTGGCCCAAGTTGGTCAGAGAAGCTGTGGCTGCCCCTGGATCCCTGGAAGTGTCCAAGGCCAGGTTGGAGCAACCTGGGCTAGTGGAAGGTGTCCCTGCCCAGGGCAGGGGGTGGGACTGGGATGAGCTTTAAGGTCCCTTCCAACCCAGGGAATTCCAGGAGAACGTGGCTTGTGTGGGGTTACAGCAGTTTACGAGACCCATCGATACATTCAGGAAAAATAAAATTCCCAGCCCGTTTTCTCCCAACTCAACTGCGGAGGAGAGCTGGTTATCCCAAAAAGCTGAACACCCCACGGGTGCCACTCACCCCCCACCCTGGGCCCTGAGCAGCCCTGCTGGGGTGGTTTGTTTTACCATCCTGGCTCCACGGGAGGATCCCACCCCCAGGCCCCAGAGCCGGGAGGCTCCTCCAACGCCGCGGGAGCCACCGGAGCGTTCCAGGTGGAAAACCTGGACGTTTCATCCCCGCCTGGTTCCTCCCTCCACCCCCCTCCCTCCACGCCCGCGCTGTTAGCCGTCTGAAATTGGATTCTAAACACTTCAGAGAAGGGACAACGGCTCCCTTTGAACTCTTGGGAGCCAAAGGAGACACAAAAAAAAAAAAAAAAAGAGAGAGAGAGAAGTCTCATTTAGAATTCACAAAACAAACAACAAGCAACAACAAATATCACCTGAGCGAGGCACCAGCTGTCAACCTGCTCCACACCAGGAAATAAATTAATGAAAAGGCAACCTGATGGTAATTTAATGATTCTCCAGCTGTCCTGGCATTACACAACCAGGCTGCCTCAGGATGCCCTCAGCTCCCGGGCTCTTATGAAATGTCTGCAAAGAAGCCTTGAGGAGCCATAGCCTGAGTTGCTCCTTGTCTTCCCCGAGCTGGAGCTCCAGGTTTCAAAGGAATTCAGGCTTGCTGAGGTGCCCAGAGCTCTCCCAACCTGGTTCTGCCCTTCCCAAGGGTGCTCAAATCCACCCAAAAAAACCTTCTTCCCGCCCCTGCCCTGCAAAGATAAAGGGGGGGGGGGGGGGGGGGGGGGTGTCTCTGAATTATAATTTTTATTCCAGGTGGGAGTCAGGGAGGCACAGGATGAGCAGCTCTTGATCCATGCTGGGCACATCCATCCATCCATCAGTGGTGCCAATACCCTGGCAAGGGACAAACCTGGATTGGGTGCAAATCCCAGCCTTTCTCCTGGGACCAGGTTAAGAATCTAATTGAACCTGCAACTAACTGGACATTTAAAGGAGGATTTTAGAAATATCTGGGAACCAGCATTTCCCTGTCCTGTGTCTTCTCCTTGCTCTCCAAAGCTGTTTCCCTCAGGAAAGGGAAGGATCACAAGCCAGAAATCAGGGACAGCACAAGGAGGATTATTACAATTTTTATCAAGCCCAGTGATAAAATTTAAGTGACATATGAAGTGATTAGGCCAAGCAAAAAATTCAGAGGACCTACAAGCAGGGAGCTCCCTTGGAGCTCCTCTCCCAGGCCTGGGAGCTGGGAATTCTCAGGATGCTGGTGTTGACCATCTCCTTCTCCCAAGACACAAGAGGGTTGTCCCACTCCCACCCCACCCCTGATGGGACCAAACCAAGGAGAGTTATGAAATTCAGCTGTGCCTCACCTCTCAAAACCTACACAAGAAACCCCTGATCATCTCCCCCCTCATCAACTCACCCCTGGCAGCAGCACCCAGAGCTCAGAGGGAAGCTACTCAATTACCTGGAGCTAATTAACTAATTAATTGTTTTGTGGTGCAAAACTGAAGGTGAGGGTTTATTCCCCATTCCTTTAAGAAATTAACTTTGGAACCATCCAAGAGCACACCAGGTTGAGCCACCTGGGTGACAGTGGCTGGGGGCTCCCACTGGACACCACGTTGGGTTTTATCATCCCAGGGAATTTGAGGAGCAACTATTCCCTGCTGCTGAACAAGCACAAGTTGCCACTTCCCCAATATTTTGTGGTGACCTCGAGGACCTACTGGAAACTTGGAGAACAGCTCAGACACCAATCAGACCTTAAAAGACCAGATGTGGGAGATTTCTGCTAAGACTGCACTAAAGGCAGACAGTTCAGCTGGAATTCTGCCCATTCACCTCCCCCTCACCAGGGATTCCTTCAAGGAGGAAAGGACAAGAAGTCATCCCCACCTCCTTAAAAACTTCTCCATTTCATGGAATCATGGAATGGTTTGGGTTGGAAGGGGCTTTAAAGAACATCCAGCCCCACCCCCTGCCATGGGCAGGGACACCTTCCACTAGCCCAGGTTGCTCCAACCTGGCTTGGACACTTCCAGGGATCCAGGGGCAGCCACAGCTTCTCTGGGCAAGTTGTGGATGCCCCATCCCTGGAGGTATCCCAGAGATTGGTGCTGTGTTAGCTCAGCAGGGATTAAAAAAGGTTTCCACTTGGAAACAAGCAAACCTCAAAATTGCTCCACTTTGAAATTCTTTTATCACAGAATCATGGAATGGTTTGGGTGGGAAGGAACTTAAAATTATCTTGTCCCACCCCCTGCCATGGGCAGGGACACGTTCCACTAGCCCAGGTTGCTCCAAGCTCTGTCCAACCTGGCCTTGGACACTTCCAGGGATCCAGGGGCAGCCACAGCTTCTCTGCCCAACCTGGGACAGGGCCTCAACACCCTCACAGCCAGGAATTCCTTCCCAATATCCCATCTAGCCCTGCCCTCTGGCACTGGGAAGCCATTCCCTGTGTCCTGTCCCTCCATGCCTTGTCCCCAGTCCCTCTCCAGCTCTCCTGGAGCCCCTTCAGGCCCTGCAAGGGGCTCTCAGCTCTCCCTGGAGCCTTCTCTTCTCCAGGGGAACCCCCCCAGCTCTCCCAGCCTGGCTCCAAGACCCAAAATCCCCAACCCCACCATTCCCCTCCTTCCCCACTGGGACAAACCCCAGTTCGTGTTTCTATCCTTATTTTCCCAATGGCTTTGAGGCAGATGAAGCATCTGCACCAACTTCATCATATTCTCTGAAAATGAAACCCATGTTGGATTGGAGTTTTAGAGGAAAAAGTGTTTTCCACAGCCAGGAGGAGCAGGAGTGAGGAGAAGGAACAGCAAAGACCTTTGACACCACACCCCCCAAAAAATCATAAAATCCTATTCACATTTTAGTTTCCCTAAAATTTATGGCCCAGAGTCCTGCCAATGTGACCAAAACCATCTTCCTCCTAGTGCCCTGTTCCAAGTGTTTT